ACACTAGCATGTGCCAAAAACTTCTAATTTTACAAAGAAAGTACATCAGCTTCACTGTTTTCCATGAATTCATACACCTTCTGAGATGGCATTTAATGGATGAGAGAAAAACATCCATTATTACCAAAAAACCTAATGCAACTATAACTCTGGCTATAAACATCAAAACCTCTTTTTAAATGAATCCACAGGACCATAATTAAAGTATTTGAAAAGGAATAGTTATTTTTCTTATTGGTGTCATCCCAAGTCTTTCCCCAGAGAAAGGTTCTAAGTGAGTTTGAGTTCCATTAAACTAACTGCACAGCAGTGTTATAGTAATCCATCATTTGAAATGCAACACCTCATTCTCAAAAACATTTGACTTTATCCAGTAACATGTACAAACGACTGCAGTTTTTCATATTATAGCAAGCATGCACAGACAAAATAAAACCATAACTGGATTTTCCTGTCCCTAGTACCAAATTTAAATATTAAGACCAAGCATGCTTTCTATTAGCAGCAACCTTGATTGCTTCTGAAGACACAAATCATCAATCAGAGCTGGATCTGAACCAATGAGCTAGAAGAGATGCCTAGATTTCATTGTTCATTCTGCTTGCCAACAGTGGCTGGAAAAATCACTTGATAAATTACACTTAGGAGTTGTTTTAATGACTAAAATTCAACATGATTATCTAGTTCACATAAGGCCTTGTCTGTCTTTTTAATGAAAGTCTATCAGCTTCCCTAAGAGATGTACTGCACCCTTCTGCCAAATCTGATAAGCTCTGAAGATAATATGAAACAGCTTTAAAAATCTAACATTTAATTGTCAGAGTGAAACTGATTCACACACGAATGATGGCAAAGTTGAGAGCATCATAAACAAAGCACAAGTTACAAATCACATCAGACAAACATGCTGAATGCTCAGATCAGACTAATGGAGACATCTGTCTTCATTTAGGGAAGCAATTACAGCATGAACTGAAATGGTACCAAAGCAGTTTACATGCCAGTGTGGGAGCATGTCAACTGGTGAAACTGGGCCATTCAAACTGACTCTGAAAGACCTGAGAGGAGTAGATTCCCAAGTAATCCAATTTTTCTGCAGATTGAAGAATTTAAAATTTCTCAGCAGAACTGAGTTGTGTGAGTTCAGGCAGTTCTGATGATCCCAGTAGGAGATCCAGGAGACAGCAAAGTCTTTCCCTGCACAAAAGCAAAGGGTGTCTGCCTCCCTTGCTTGTGGGACTCTGCCTGAGACTTAAGGTCCCAGAGACAGATAGATTGCATTGCTTCCCTGGGAACATATGAGATCAGGAAGACTGTGATGGAGAACAGATGTTCATTGATGCTTACGCTGAACGCATGAGACTTGAAACAGGCTTGTATTTATTCTTCTTCCTCTGTGGACGACCAGGAAGTTAACATCTTAGAAACCTAACCAGAGATAAGCAGCTTACCACTTCACACATTATTATCCGGTACGAACATGAAGACAGTCCCAGAAGTTCACATTCCAGATGGGAACTGTATGGTCAACTTTGGACCTGCTACAGGCGGACTCCTTCCTTCCCCTAAGACCCCAGCATAACGAAGTGGTACCCCACTGCAAAGAGAACCAGAGAGTGAGATGTGTGAACAACGATCTCTGCACGGCTGTCCAAACAGGCATCCAAAGTGCAAAAGTCATGTATTGCCTTTCCGTATTTTACCTAAGCACAAATCTGTAGAGGTGCATGCATGCACTGAAAGTAAATAGCACGTTATTATACCACTGTTGCATTTAGTTGAAACCATATGGCTCTGCCATTCTGCATCCAGCCTGTAAACATACTCTTCATAAGCCAGGTATATCTGGAAGCCAGAGCTATTTCAGTCTGGTTGGCAGTGTGCTTAAGAGCAGGCCACATAAACCAGGCTCTCCATTCTTCCTGCAAGCTCTAAACTGAATTTAAATTTAAACACAATCTCTGCTTTACAAAGAGAAGGGATCTAAGAATGTATTTTACGGATGTGTTTGTTCTTCACAAATCTGCTTCATTCTGAGAAAATGAATACTTGGGAAAACCTCATTTTCTAGGGGGAAACCTGTTTTTCTTTTTGAGTTCTATTGGTAGGAAATTTTAAGTATCTTCTTCACACTGAAGATTTGCTGGCTGCGCCTATTCCTAACCTCAGAAACAGTCACAAAGCAGAACTGTGACAGTATAAACCACCAGGCTCAAGCGATACCCAAAAAAGCACTCGCCCCAGAGCAGGCGGGACTTGCGTTTCCCGCGGACGTTTGCGGGAGGCAGCAGGAGAAACCCGTCAGCGAACCCAGCGCGTGCGGCCGGCCCGCGTCTGGCGCGTCCTCTCCTAGGAAGGGAACGGGGACGTCCCAGCCTTGGCCGCGCGCAGCGCGAACGGGGGCGACTGTGGCTTTTTCGACAGGACGTGACGAGCGCTGCCCCGACAAGAGACCTCCCGAGCGGGCCCGACTCCTGCGCCGGCCCCGCGGCCAGGCGAGGCAGGACACGGCCCCGCCCTGGACGCCAGGGCC